TAAATATATATATATATATATATAAAAAAACCCTATACTAAATTCTAAAACAAACCTTCAAGTTTTAGAGCACTTCCACCTGGAAACACTCTGACTAGAATTCAGCTTCATTGGGGGTAAAAATGAGAAATTATGGTAAAGAGGAAAGAAAGTAGCTGAGAAAGATGGAAGTTTGCCATTTTCATGTTTGAGATGAATGTTTTTGCAGTGTATACATGCACTTGTCGTAACTCTTCATGTGTGTTCGTTAAATCATATGCGTACAAAAGAAATGTGGATCATGTAAATTCACAGTTATCACAGCCTTTAAAGTGTCTAAGAATTTGTGTGACCAATGCTTGAAGACGACCACTGGTTAAGTGGTCATCCTACATTGCTACGGTATAATTACTGCATCTTAACGAGTTTGCTTACCTGAAATAGCAGAGCAGTTATAATACTGATTACATATGATATTATCGTGTTAATAAAATAAGGATTTACACAAAGCAGTATTTGACTACAACATTTAAATGCTATGTTACTTGGCACATTTAGTAATGATTGCTTAGAAATCTTAGCAAGCCCAGAGGACTTTGAATGAAAATACTGAAATGTCTGAGATTTGTTTCTAACATTTAATGTTTTTGGTCTACTCTTTCATATCCTATTCATCTATTATACTGTCCTATCAAGTAAGTGGAATTCCTTGTAAAGTCTATATTGCTAGTTTTGTGGACTGAAAAAATTTATTTCCAAGCACAAATGTTAACTATACAGTGTATATATATATATTTATATGTATATATTTATATTATATAAAGTTTACTTACGTACTTTCATCAACCATATCAGGTCTACTTATTTTTTTTGCCCATTGACAATAAAAGAGCAAGAATGCAAAACTTGGTTCTGTATCACTTTTTTTCCTTTTTTCATGGACTAAGTTTTTATTATGCATGTAAAATGGCCAAGGGGTTTGGTGTAAAAGGTAGCTTTCCTCATATTCAGCAAGCAGCATGTTTTCAAGGCAGTTTGGAAAGAAGAACTAACCAGATGGTAAGCGTCTGTCGAGTAGGTAAGTAAAACCAGTATCGATTGCACTAACTTGAATTACTTTATTTAGTAACAGCAAGCTTTAAGCTCACACAGCTCAATTAAATTGCTCGTCTAGGTAAAAACTGACAATCTTATTTGTTGCTTCCTGTAAGTGCCTTCGTAACTTCGTTTAAAACTACAGCTATCAGGAGGGTCAACAGGTTCTAGACTATTGTGCTGATGCCGCTGTGTTTGGGCTTGGTGCTGGCAGACGTGGAGGGGGGCGGTGGTGGCCCGTGGTGATGCTGAGAGTGCTGGGGGTGAGCAGAGTGCCCCGGGTGGGGAGGGGGCAGTGGCGGGTGAGGAGAGTGGGTGTGCTGCGCATGGGGGTGCTGCAGGTAAGGAGTGTGCTGGGAGTGCGCCGCGTGCTGGGAATGGGGCACGTGCTGGTGGTACTGGTGTGGGTGCTGGATGTGCTGGGGAGGGTGATAGTGGTGGTGGTGGTGGTAGGGCGGGGGGTTCTGCTGCATGTGACAGTACTGTGAATGGTGAGAGTGCACTTGTGCCTGCGTCTGGCCCTCCGTGATGCATGGCTGAAGGATGCTGAGGGTGTTGCTGATGTGGGATTACTGGAGGGTGCGGAGGTTGCTGTGATGAGCCAGATGGTGGATGGCCTTGGGAAGGTGGCTTTCCCCTTTTACTACCAAATAAAGAACCTAGGAGTGAGGAGGAGTTAGGCATAGTCTGGTGAGGGCGAGATGGACACTCTCGGGTTGATGTAGCTCTTCGGCGCATGTGAGGACTGCTAATGATGGACCCCTAAAAAGAAATTAATAGAAATAAAAATTAAAAAAAATCTTAAAATGTTTAAAAGAAAAAGTTCACACTGACCCACAAACTCCTCCTTCAGTGTTCACATGGGTGGACTACGTTAAAAGTTCTAGGAAAAATTTTATTTCCACCTTCTCTAAGTTGCCAATGAGGCATTCATGCCCTTCTTGGGATATTTTAAGCATTAAAGGTTTTTCTCTCAGTACTTTAATATCGAAAGCTATGACTTTAAATAAGAAAAATGTCACGGAAGACTAACATGACATAAGACCTAGGAGTGTGTTTTTAAAGGAAAAATACATTTTAAAATATTGGAAAAATACCATACTTGCTTTTTTTTTTTTAAACAACAAAAATAAAACTACATTAAATTCAACTTAAATAGTTAAACACACAGCAGCAAATATTACAGTTACAATTCAGATTTCAAAACAGTATTTTAAACTTTTTTTAATAGTAGTTTTCCACTACTATATGCCACAGTGCTGCTTCTCAAGCCTACCTCTTAATTATGTGTTAAATGGAACCATACCATTTTTGCCACTAAAATTTCTATGTGATTGTGTTCTTCTGACCTGTGGTCCAACACTCTCTATTATTTAGTCTGGAATGGTGTATTTAGTTTCTGGAAGTTTGGGGTTTGTATTTTTTAAAAAGAGTTATGGGGACACAACAGTACTTAGGCAAAATGTGCTAGATTTAAACTGCAATCTACCTGAAGCAAACACAAAAAAAAAAAAGTGAAAAAAAAAAGAAAAAAATCTGCAAGCTGAATTCAGAGACATGAACAGTATATATAAATGGTTTGAAGATGAATGAAATCTCATGAAATCCACATTGAATTCACCTGTCTCAATAATTTCTTCCTCCCATGCCCTATCTGTGCAATTCCATGGTGTCATGACTGCATACATTTAGCAATTTAACTTGAAAATAAGCAATGGGAATGGTTGAGCATGAAAGTCAATAGTCGTAGCTAAATATCAAACAGCAAGAACAGTGTACTTTGTAACAAAGAGCAAGTGGGCTTTTAAGCTGGGACCAGACTGAAATGGTGGCAAAAGGACACGTCATATCCATTTAACCATGCTTGCAGGAACAAAGGGAACAAGGTTAGCTCAAACCAAAAATGGCATTGGTCTAAAACAAGCTGTCAGTGCTTTTTAAGCTGGAAGAATACGGAGTGAGTAGCCTAGGCATGCATTTTATTTGAGGCAGGCAGGTTATATGTTAGAAGAAAAAAGAGCAAAAAAATATGTATATAAAAGAAAGGTTTGAAATGCACATCATCACATCCAGCTAGACATCAGTAACTTCCTACTTACTTCCATATTGCTGTCTAGCGATCCTGCACTGCTGCGTCGCCCACGCTTGCCTGCCCAGGACATGCAACACCAGAGATTAGAGACTGAGACAAGACCCGGGTGACAAACAGCTGCTGGTCCTGAACGGCTACAGGAGTCTCTAAACGCAACTAGAGGGGCTGCAGGGGGGACACATCGCACTCGACTGGTACAGCAGCTACTACGGCAGAAACTTGGGGATTTTAAGGCCATTAGTTATATTAAGTTTCTGTACCTGACGGGTTTTTAAGAGGTATTGTTGTTGTGAATCAACTATCGTTAGCGGGGTGTGATTTTTAAAAATCTGTACAACCCTTAAAATACATGTATTTTAGCATCTGTATTTAGTAGTATTATGATGTTGACCAACAACCATTTTAAATCGTTTAATTTCTTGGAATCTAATTGTCTGTGAAGTTTCTTTCTTTAAAGACTGCTAGCATTGATATGCAATTGTGGGGTGGTATTAATTTAAATACAACATTTAATATTGACATGTTCTGAACTTCATTGTGGGGGAATGGTGAGGGGTATTGGATTAATAATTTCATTTTCAGTTTTGAACCTCAGTGGATTTCATATAAACTTCTTTCATGAGGTTTAAAAAAAAAAACTAAACTTAATTTTTGATCAGTGAATCTGGAATGTGTCTTGACATTATGGCTAGATTTTGTTTGTTTAGCTGTGCAGTGCTTTAAGTATGATGGGTTTGGTCTCTGACATTCTCAAACTGACAAAGACATTTGCCTAAAACTACACATGAAACACCAGACTTTGCCTCAAGAGCCAGGATATCTCAGTGGCTTTATATAGGACACAGGATCCCAAATTTTCTTTCTTATTTCACAGGAGAGAAAATAGCATATGGCTGCAGTGGAAATAATAGGTATTTTTGAAAAGACAGCTTCTTGAGCATTGCTTTGCAAAGTTTCCAAGTACTTTACTGGCAGGGTGCATGAACAAAGACAAACTCTGAGGAGTGGTCAGGTTCTCAAAGCTTCTCTAAAATCTGCACGTTTTTAGCAACCTAAGTTTTCTCAGTGCTTTCTCCTTGCTTTCCTGCAAGGCCAAAGACTATCTCCACCCTGCATCTGTACATTGCTGCCTTCAGAATCTTCTACTCTAACAGGTGGTTTTGGAGAGGAATGTGAAGATTTCAGCATCTCTGAACTGATGAGCCACATGCCCTCGCCCTGAGAAGCCCAAAAGGCACAGGGTATCAGAGCTACAGAGAAGAACTTTGGGACTGGTTTGTGTGAGGGACAAAACGGTGATTCCTGAGAAGTTCACCCTTACTTCTTGACAAACCCTTTCTCAGGCCAATTTAGACTACCCGCAAGTCTTATAAGATCAGTATGATCTAAAAATACCACCTCTTGGATCCATAAGCGTAACTTTGATCTGGCTGGTCACGGCATGCTGCCTTGCAACACAAGTTTCTCTGAAAAGCTACAGTTCTTTTTAGACTACTGTAACACTTCCTCCTCTCTTATTATCACCGGGAGTTACTCCTCAGTACAAACTCCTCTACGCTGGCACTGAGGGGAAGGAAGGCATTTGTGGCCAAGGTGTTTTGTTCAACTTGTTAAATTTGTTGGCATTTTGAACAGCTCCCCTAGACAGGCTCTTTGCCAAAAGCCTGGTGCTTCATCTCTTGCTGCAGTTTTAGCCTCAACAAACCCACAACTGTACTATCTGATGAACCCCCCAAGAAAACAGGTTTTGATAATCCCTTATTTTTACTTCTAGTCAGGCTTTGATATTTTTCTGCTCTGCTAACATGATTAGTACTGATTAACCCTCAAATCACTCTTGCTTGCTGATATAAAAACATCGAGGAAGATAGCCATCTCTTAAATTAGCAGTCAGTATTGCAAATAAGACTGGCAGCTGCCACGAGTCGTTAAATGTGGCCAAAAATGAAGGAAAACAGGAAAATCTAATGCCTTTTGCATATGGCAGGAGCCAAAGTCTCTAATAAAATAACCATGAACATGGCATATACGCAGTATATAGGCACAGAAAGAGACAGATGGACTTTTGCTTAGAATAACTTCAGGGCAAAGTAGTACTAGCAAAGCCAAGAGCAAAAGAGAAATCCTACTAAAATGCCCGTGATTCCCCTCAGATAGGCGCTATCACTATAGAGAACACCTTCTTTATTTTCTTAAAAAGAAACTGAACCCAATGCTGCATTGGCCTACAGTGAGATATGAAAGCTATTAAGTAAATCCTCTAGAGCATTCCCCCTGCCAATGTGTGTTTGTACAAGGCTGTTCTCTGGTCTTTGAGATGGCATCTCATCTCCAAAACGCTTCCCGAGAGCTGCAGCGTCCAAATGCATTTCAAGGAAATGGTGACTCGACTAGAACTGCACATACATGTAACTCCGTACTCCCTGATAGTCAACAGCTCTGCTATAAAGCAAGGTGAGATTTACCAAATCTGAAGACCAGTTTTACTTATTATACTACTGACCTACTTGTAATTTTTAAGGATGTTACTTAGAGTGGTTTTTAATTTATTTTTAGAAAATTAAATTCCAGTTAATTTAAATTTTTCTGATTCATGCCAACAATTCATTGATGTTAGATATCAACATTCTTTGTATGAAATCTCTTTAACTTACAGAAGTATACTATGTCCCATATAGGTACATGCATTATATGGGACTAAGAATATTTCAAATTTATAGTAAAAATATTAAGTGAGCAAAATATTTTTAGAAACTTAAACGTTCCAAATGAAAATGCAGAGTTTCATAATCCATTCTACCTTGCAGAAATTGATCTCACAGATGTGCAGATCATTAAGGTAAATGTAAATACTTCTCCGTGCTACTCTGTATTTCTTGAAACTCTGTTGTATGTCAGTGAGATACATTGATACCTAAACAATGTATCATGATCTGGCTTTGTACCCCTTCGGGAGGGAAAAAAGTTTGGAAAAAAAGTTCTAATTTAAGGTTTTGGTAAAGCAAAACTAATGTAGCAGCTCTTATAGCAATGAGTTGTTATATCAGCCTCCCAAGGCTGTGAAATTGGTGTTCCCAACAGCAGCAAAATCTGTAACCATCTAGCTACTGAGTTTATAGCTACCACCCAAGCTGACTTCCTCAAAATTATCTAAAAAATATACTCTAATTATTAATTTAGGGACCACTTTTCAGAGTGAAAAGACTCTGTAATCTTCATATTTTCATCTTGTTTGCTGGGTGAAATAGGTATAATCTTAAGATCACACACCAATTGTGAAACACCAGCTGTGAAAATAGTTTCTTGGCATCTTCAAACAGATTATTCTCAAAATACCGACTAAGCCCCAGGAGATGAGAAAACAGCATGTCCACATCTCACCTTGCTGAGCTCCTCCTTCACTGGAAAAGCAAAGAGTGTCTCTTCCATAAGACAGAGAAGTTGTTGATACAGAGGTGTTTCTATACAGCCTGGGGTGTCTTTGTACAACATACTTGTAAGATGGTTTGGTATCAACATACACAAATCACGAAAGACTTGATTCATACAAATCTGTTTTATTTTCAAAAGCCAGTAAATTCTATCATGCCCATTACCATTCCTATTCCAGTGAAGAACAGGAAATATAACAACAGTGATGAGGGAAGAGACAGGAAAAATCTCTCCCTACTTGGAAAGCTCTCCTAATAAGGGAGGAAGACTGCTAGTGTCCTCTGCCCTGCGCAGCGCACCAAGCCCAGGGCAGAGGAAGAGAAATAACCCAGTGACCTCGCCTGCATCAGGTGAGGGGGAGCCAAGGGACTGCCCCAGCCCGCCACAGACTGACTCACCAGACTAAGGGCTCCTGTAACTGCATGAAGGCAGAGTCTTTTTAAAGGGATCACAAGGCTGAGGAGTTCCACAGTCTTTTCCATTACATTTTGGGACAGAGGAAATTTAAAAAAATACCTTATGGAATTGTTAAAAAAACCCCAGAAGCCTTTTTTGGAAGGTAGAAAGAAACATTTAAAAGTTAAAGGTTGATGACTGAGATTATATGCAATACACAAATATAATTATTTTAATTCTGGAACTACTTTATTTTTTTGGTTTGGGGTTTTTTGTTTGGTTGGTTTTTTAAGTAGTCTCTACAGGTCTGTGATTGTTTTGAGATAGCTCAGGAGATTATGAGACAAGCACAATTTAATTAAGAGTAACCATTATACCATGCTGCACTTCTGGGCAGATTCCAATATTACATTGGTATGCCAGTCGTGTATTACTGGGGCAAACCATAAAATTACAATCTTTAAACCAGTGCAGTGTGTAAATAATATTTCCACCCTACAGGTTAGAGATGTGGGGGATAAAGCTTGATTTCCACGGTGCTCACCACTGTAAACTAATGTGAAAGCACTGGGTCCTCCAGCAACTCAAAGTCACTGGAATTCAGATTGACTAGTCTCAAATCAGTCAAGAAACCTGTGAGAGATACAGAATCAGAAACGCAACCAGTCTAATCCTCCATGATCTGCTCTAGTGACCAAATAATTCTTCCCACATACTAATGGCCATGAGAGGCCTGCACACCTTTCACGTCTTTCTGTAAACCTACTTATCATGTAGTTGTATATGGAGTAACAGGTGAAACGTCCAAAATTCTATTGGAACCTGTAAAACTCAGCTTTAACTGCATTGAAATTTGTCTGTCTTCTAGATATTTTTATGTAAACTAAGAATTCCAAAGTTTGGGACAAATAAATTCAGTTCTTCCTTGACTACAGCTCAAGAATGTGTAATAAAAACGATTTTTTTTCTCTTTTGAGAAAAATAAAGCACTAAATACTTTTGACACATTCACATCTTGGAATAGTTGGTTGCCACATTCTGTTTTTTGCTCCATTGAAAAAACTGTCAGTCCACAATGACCAATACTACCTTTAAAATCAAGAGACCCCCACGCACATCCTTTCTGCAATTACGATTCCAGCTATCACGGCAAATGCACGGAACAGCCATCGGGAAACGATTCCCAGCGCTGTTTCCTGGCAGAGAAATCTTGCCTTTCCTTACGGTTTATAGCTTAGGAGTCAGAATCATTCAGGGTATCAACATTTATTAGATCAAAGAAGCTTATGAATCGTCACTCTTTTCCAAGAGAGAAATTGAAAGTTACTTTCCACAACCACCATTTCCTGCTGTGATACCTGGTAGAGAGTAATGGACTGATTTCTTAAATCATTTTGTCATATACTCATGCAACCAATGCTGTTCAATCACATTTTCTCCTTCACTGAATAAATATTTTACATTTTTCAATTTGTTCTGGCAATGTTCAGTGGCTCTGCCTTACTGCATAAATATGCTACAAGGAAATTTTCTCATGTTTATTACATTTATTTCTGTTTAAATGTAGAAAAGAACTCTCTAAAAATCCACTTTCATCATGCCTTTGCCTACAGAAAGACACATATTCACACACAGTCCCACTACTCTTGCTCCTTCTCCTTGTTGATCCTGTGTTTCACCCACAAAATGAAGAACTGAGGTAACCTAACTCAGTACTCTTTTACAGAAGCGATTTAGTGTGGTATAATCACTGGGATGCAGTATCTTGCTAACTGAAAGAGATTTATTTGTTTTTCTATGGATGATCTCTCTCATTAAAACAAAATCAACCTCACATCCAAGCTATTCACGGAGAAAAGGCAGAAAAGACACGTATAATCTCACTAAAATTATTACATCAAATAAAGCAAATACCAGGTATGTGATTTCTCAAGTCAGTAGCACTGCACAAGACCAAACAGAAACTCTCCATAATTCTCAACTTGTTGAAGTTAAAATTAAGTTTAGTTGGGTTTAACAAACTCATTGATAAACCCTGCAGTCTGTGAGTGATTTCTACTTTTTATTATGGAAAAAAGTTATTTTCAGTAGTAAGCATGCCAACTGTAGGCATGCCCTGTTGAAACGTGAAATGTTTCCATGATTACAAATACTTGCTTATCGCATAAAACCCATGACATGAATTTAAATACATGGCAATGTTTGAAAGACAGGGATGAAAAATTCCCATGGGATGAAAAAAATTAATCACAAATCAGATTTGTGGGTACAAATACCCACTGAACTCACATATTTAACAATATGGTAGTTCTCATTCTAATGAAATAAAAATAAAACAACAACAAAGGATGATGGAAGTATCCTCAAATCTGAGATGTAACAGTGGTGGAGACCAGTGGCTTGATCTAAAATCCATTGAGGCCAGTCAGGCACCAATATTGAACTTCAGTCAGATTTTGGATCAAGGTCCTAGGTCTTTTTAATGAAACAAATAGACATATGAGTATGAAAGCCTGAACAGAGAAGAAAATAATTGAAAGAGCTAACTCTCTACATACGTATATACACATACATATATCCACAAAACACAGGCTATAATTTCAGTTTACAACAATTTTATTTATTACAGCATAGCTAAAAATCTCTTCTTTAGTTAAAAAAGGGGAAAAGATAAGTAGTGTCCACTACCAAACATATACACAGTATTGCAATTATGACTATACTGTAAATCATTACTGCTATCATAGAAACAGATCACAGTATGTAACACAGACCAGGAACTAAAAAAACAAAAAAAAACCCAACAAAAAACCAAAAAGAGTTTGTTTTTTTTTAAATATATATAGTTGCTATTATCCCCCAAAGTACTTTCTGAATAATGGGGATGGTGTTCAGATACAACTTCTTGTAAACAACAAGAATCACATTTAATACTGAAACACAAGGTTACTACCCATGGGCATGCCAGCTCTGTATTACCGCGGCAAACCATAAAATAAAACCATACCAAACTTCCCCTGGCTTTTCCTTCCTAAAAATCACACCACCACTCCTTTCCAGTCTTTAGCAGTATAAATCAGTTAATAAATCTGAAGACAGATCAGTGGTTTTGTGGGATATCAGTATTCTATTCCACTAGGGCTTCCTTTACTATATTTGCAATAGTATTTCACAACAACCTCTTTTGTAAGAATTGGGAACTATGTATCTTGAGTTACAAAACAATAAAAGAGCATCAGGGACACACTGGATCTGAATTACAGAGCTCTAGGCAGAATTTAGTAGGGCTTCACTCAATTTCATTCATCCATGTGGTAACACAGGTACACTTGAGCACAAAATACACAGTAAGTGGTCATTACACAGAGACCAGGTCCTTTTCTTTTCTTTCTAAGCCTATTGGATGAAGGGTAAAAAGCAAAAGGGAAGAAAAAAAGAAAGGAAAACTAAGTGGGTTACACCTAGCACAAGTCAACCATTTTGACACTTATGATAGTCAACCATAAAACACTTAAAATTTTTCCTCTGTCTTCACTCTCCTTTAAAAGTATATACAGCAATCTACAGCGGTTTAAATGCTTTCAAATTTAATAGAACGAGGGTAAAAAACAAACAGCTGTTAAATGTGAACTATGAAAGAGGAGCTATTTAAAATGTTTGAAGTTTCAGTATTACTAGCGCTGGGACCTCACTGAGAGCTGGGCTTTAGACACATCATTCACACGTCTTTGCATGCACTAGTGGGAGCGAGGAAATACAGGCAGTGCTTACCTGCTTCAGACAGGTCCCTAAGGGAGCTGCTCAGCGCGCTTCTCTTCAGCCCCTCCCCGGTCGCGTAGCTGTCATCCAGGCAAGCCCTGTTCAGCGTCCCATTGCCAGAATCCTTTTTCAGACTGGAGCACTGAGACATGCTTGGTCTCACCACACCCTTCTGTTTTTCTAGCTCAGCTGAAACAAAAGAGAACAATTTTGTAATTCATATTTATTGACTATAATGAAGGACACGGCAACATCACAATTTCTGGACGTGATCAGCTGTTACTGTGAATAACAGATAAGAGCTCATTTTGGCACTGTTAAATGCCAGGGAGGAACTTCACCCCTGTACTAACAGCTTTATATTACAACATACAGGATGAAAGGATATTCCTCTTTTGGAAAACCAGAAGGTAAAACTCCTGTTTAGTCACTCATTTAACTTCCAGCAAAATGTATCAATCTGTACCATGGCTACCCTAACTGAGAGAATACAGGAATATCAACATGGAAATGGAAGAAAAATCCAGTGAAACTTATCTGAAGGGCCATCACTGAGAATTTCAGTGATGTGAATTACTCCTACAATTCTTACTGTAATTTGTACTAGAGAACTTACAAATCCACCTCTCCTCTGTCCATTGCTATTTGCAGTTTGTCCAGGCTACATTTCCACGGCAGCTATGCTGCAGTAAATGATAGTCAGTGTGCTCAGCTAGGGCTTAATATATCACTGGGGGTTTTCCCTCCGTCTAGAATCAAAGCCATCGAAAAAACCCACATTATTTTGAACTTCTAAAGAGCTCTAATGGGATATACACATATTCTAGATTTTCTTATTTTGATTAGCTTAAAAATGCTCTATTATATGTACCTTTGTACTTACACTCTATTCTGTGCTTTTCCATTTCTTGAACCTCTGCAATTGACTCCCTCAAATCATCTGTAAACTTCTTCCTGTCCTGAGGATTTGGTGCATTGAAATTTATTAGTACTTTGATATCTGCCCCTGGAACAGCTGATGTGAGCCGAATACCGTTGGGATAATCTAGAAGAAAGAGTCAAGAAAAACTAAGCTTTGATTATTCCAATTACTTTTCTTTTTATATTAAAAAAAAAAAAGAATCCTGAAAGCTTTTTACTAATATTACCATATAATGGACAAAGTCCAAAGGCACAGAATTAGAATGAAAATCCCTAAGATACACTGGAATTGCTTAACTGTCAAGATACTAAATAAAAATAAATTGAAAAATAAAATATAAAATGTAAATAAAAGATAAAATAAAACTAAATATTGAAAGATAGTCTTTATGTAGCTGTTACCCTTACGGTACAATGTACAATAGAAAAGCAAAATCACAGAAAAAAAAATTTTTAAAAATTAAGGGGATGATTCTTGTTTCATGGAACAGATTCCATTACCTGCCTTACTCAATTGTGACCAAGGTTTTGCTGAGTCGAGGTTACTTGAATACATCTCAAATACTAGAAACTGCCTTATACTCAATGTTTGCAGGAAGACAAGCACACTAGCATGTACAACTTTTAATATTTCCTGTTTAGTTATGTTCCCTGAACATTCTACTTTAGGTTTTCCTTGTTTTGGTTTGTTTGTTTTTTTTTAAAAAAAAGGTTTAAATTATCCAAAATTACATACTGGGGAAGTAAAAGGGTGATTCTCCATCCCGCCCCCCTGATTTTGGCCCATATTATGGACATCTTCACAATATAAGGCAGATTTTTCAGCAGACTGTCTTTGCCTCTTTTCTAGCTGCACATCTGAGAACACAAATTTTAACAGCTGGTCACAAATATCTCCTGGATGAGACAGAAGGCTCATTTACAGAAAGATAGCTTATAATGAAGATACATTCTGCTGTACAAAACAGAATCAGCCTTTGTTTGAAGCACAGACGTGTAGGAACAGGGTGTCAGAAAAAAACCTCTAAACGTGCATTCTAATTCACAATGTTTTCTTCTACTCAACTGCCTGACCTTGCTGGTTTGCTAAAGGTCTCAAATACTTGCTTAAGTACTCAACCTGAAGTTCAAGTGCTCCCACGTACTGAAAATTCATTCCCTTAAGAACCAGCAGATGATGTAAGGTAGTCTCTTCCCTCAAAGCCATTAGGTTTCAACAAGACTTAAAAATATTGAGACACAAGTGCAAATGCTACACTTTTTTAAAAGGATATCTTAACTTCCAAATCAGAGTTGCAACTCAAAGGGAAGTAAGTCCATTTACCATTCTCAGGTGAAAAAAGGTGCCAACTACTGCAAGCCTCAAAGGGTACAGAGGAGGAGACAGCAAGAATGTGGGGCTTCTGTCAGGGTCTGATTCAACAACTCACACAGAAGCAACCTGCAGCTGGTCTGCTTCTCCTGACCACAATACAACTGCATCTACCTTCAATCAAACAAGACAGTTGCCTCGAGCTGTCTGCAGCTGCTGTCATTCAGAATACAGCCAAATGGCCAGGAGGGCAGAGGAGTCTGGTGTGAGGCAAGCTAAAAAGGGGGAAACCACAGTGTAACACCAGGTACTGTTTGGAACACTGAACCTGGGTATGCAGGAAACAGCTCTAGAAAATGCACCACTTGGAAAAAAAAAACAAACAAACCTCAAAAAGTTTATGAAACCAAAGAAGGAAACTTGGCAACCCCAAAGTCACATAAATTACCTTTACAAATGAACAAAGAAAGAATTTCCACATACTAAACAAATAAAAATATCTTATTACCAGAGATACTTCTCTACATTGTACTGATTAAGCATCAGGAAGTACTCATGGAAGAATTTATTGGTTTTAGATACGGTCTTTCTGAAGTAATCTGCTCATCCTTTACACTTTGTCTGTGATTTTCACTGAAAACGTAAAACATACCTCCCTTACGGTCTATTTATTTACTAGAGATATATGACATTATTATTCCCTTTTAGAGTTCATCCATCCCTCAACCTAATTCACTTCTATCATTACGAGTCAATTCTTCTCTCATCAATGCCAATCATGTTGTTCAACCTCACCAGTAGCCAAATCAGTATTTTTGTTGCTTCTGCTTTAGTGACACTAAATTTTATTCACTTGAAACCAGCTGATTCTGACAGCTGCTACACACAGAGTTACCGGATGGCATGAGAGCTCTGGCCAAAATACCCCAGAGCTTGCTGGGGCCAGAGATCCAAGACTATGGATTTTACAAACCAAAGGGGAAGAATACTTCTCTTGCCCAACTGGAAAACTGATATTAGAAGTGCAATCAGCTCTTTGATTCACCAAGCTGAATTCACCTTAGCAGCCAAACTACGTCTATTAAAGCACCTCAGTTAAAATGCCTCCAGTTCACTGGGAGGAATTCAACCCTTCACTCCTAGTTTCACTACAGATATTTTTAAGTTTACCTGAGTAAGTGTTTCTACTTTGTATGCTTACGAGATTTTTTTTCAAAATTTATTTAACTTGACATCAGAGGAATTATATATTCTTCTATTTTTAGTAGAATCCAGGATAGAAGTATTTGTCCTTCCTCTCTAAAAATGAGTTTAATATCATATAATTTGTGCACAAAAGAGAGAGAATGAATGTGTATGCATATAAATAATCTGCAGGCTACCTTGCTGCTATAAGCTCTACAAAATCTTCCCTTTTGAAATCTCCAGATGCTTTGACTCAATAACAGCAGCTTCTTTTGAGTGAGATGAGCATCGGAGTGCATTCTCAAGGACAAGTTAAAACTAAGAGCCCTCGCCAACAGAAAAGCACTGAAACTACTGAATGTCACGCTGAACTGTGTGCAGTGTATCAGAAGCTCAAGGTTTGGTTTGCAAACCATGAAGTCAGGTCAAATAAACTGTCTCCCTATGCACCACACAAACAGCTGTGTTCTGCTGCGCTATTACCGATGCTGCGTCTGGGCTGAAAATCAAGGACATTAGCAAACTATTTGCTTTTTGTTGGGTTTTTGTCTGCCAAGACTAAGCTTGACAAGCATTAAAGAAAAAAAGAATATTGGACTGATTCAGATTACAACTCACATAAACAAAAAGTGTCAGAAAACACAAACTTTGATCCAGACTCTCTGCTTTGTATTTATATTGAATGGGTATATGTTACCTAGGCACAAAGTTAAGATATAAATCAGGAAAATAAATTAAATAGTGCTTTGAATTACACATATCATTATAACAGTCTTTATTTATTACCATACATTCAGTTTCAGCTAACTGTACTATTGACTCAGCAACAGATGTATTTGTTTCTCTACAAACATGTTACTCTTACAAGTATTCACAAACAACACATTTGGTTCAAGCTGGCTTCTGACTACAACCAAAAAAAAAATATCTAACAATAGTCTTGCTGTTTCTTATGCTGGCATGTTTTAAACTCTAGGACTAAGTTAAATTCAGAGCACTTTTATTCCTACATTCAGAAACAAGATCTGTCCGTCCCTTTCACTCAAACAATTTTTTAATTTTATTTTATTTATAAATAAAATGGTCATCTAAAACGAGAAGAAAGACTTACACTGGTTCTCAAAAAGAAGAACTTGCATTCCATAAAGGGAAAACGACTGTCGAAAACTGTATGTAACTGAGTTCTTCTTCTTTTGAAAAATCTTGGTCACCTGAAAGTTATCAAGTAAACAAGTGAAATATCCCTTTTACCATATGTATTTGTGGAAAATTATTGTTCTTAAGAATTAGCATATGAGAAAATATTTTATGCCAAAGAAAGTTATACTCTGCCAGAAAATATGAACTTGTAATTCTTTCCTTTCCTTTCCTTT